AATTTATAAAAATTTTAAACGCAAGGACAAACCCTCGCAGAGACTCGAAAAAATTTAAACCATCCAAAACCAATTTTTCTGAAAATTCCCAGCAGCTTTAGTGACCACCCAAACCCTGTCACTAAAGGCCTGATCGCCTGTGGCTAAAACCACAGAATTGCACACTCAAGAAAACACCAAATCGATCGATCTAACTCAAAGGAATCGAGTTCCCTTACCTCTAGAACGTGCCTAGGCCTAGATTGGCTGATCCGGGACGTTGATCAAACCCTCAACGTCACCGCTAATAAAAACCAAGCTTCGAATTAATCTAACGATAAATCGCGCATAGAAATAGCGAAAGGGGGTTCGTGATCCTTACCTACAACACGAAAGAGACGGGATCGGGATCGGGATGGCGCCTGCTTGCGGCGCTGGGGAAAGTCTTGCTGCCTGCTGGGATCGGAAATTGGGGCGGGGTCTGGAAATGGAAATTGGGGAGAGGGAAAACACGAAGGGTCGGGGAAAAGGAAATAGAGAGGGCGGCGGGTTTGGGGATAAATTGGAGCCGAGGGTCTCTTTCTTTGCTTTTGGGGAAATTAACTGAAGAGGCGGTTAAGGGGGGTTTCTGCGCATTAATTTGGGACGCTCAGGTTTGGGGAAAAATTAAAGGTAGGGGCCGCTCGGCCCCAGGCCTAATTATTATACGTATACTTTTTTTTTTAACAACAAAATTATTATTATTATTATTATTATTATTATTATCACTACTAATCTGCGATTGCAACTCCTAGTACGCCACTGTCAACCCAACCGATTATGTATCATGGTCGAACCATAATCCAAAATTCGGGGTGTTACAAATTTTCTGATGTAATAGCTACTAAACACATTCACTGTGATGTATGTCACCTTGCCAAACAGAAAAGGCTTCCATTTCCTTCTAGCAATTCTGTTAATCCTGTTCTTTTTGGATTAGTCCATGCTGACATTTGGGGGCCATTGAATACAGTTTCATACAATGGTTTTAGTTATTTTTTGACTGTTGTTGATGACCATTCTAGATGTGTGTGGACCTTCCTCATGAAACACAAAGATGAGGCTAGGCCTTTACTTCAATCTTTCTGCTCTATGGTCAAAACACAGTTTGGTAAAAGTGTTCAAATCATCAGAACTGACCAAGGTCAGGAATTCCACATGAATGATTTCTATCAGGCTAATGGAATCATTCATCAAATGAGTGTAGTTTACACCCCCCAACAGAATGGGAGGGTTGAAAGGAAGCATCAACACCTCCTAAATGTGGCAAGGGCTTTGAAATTCCAGTCCGGTTTGCCTCTTTTATACTGGAGTGACTTTGTTTTACATGCAGCCTATCTGATTAATAGGACTCCCACACCTATTCTCCAAAACAGAACTCCCTTTGAGGTTTTGCATCAGTTACCACCAGATTATGCCAATCTGAGGGTTTTTGGATGTCTGGCTTATGCAGCCACATCAGGACAGCCTAGAACCAAATTTGATCCTAGAGCTAAGCAGTGTGTCTTTCTGGGAATACCTGCAGGAATCAAGGGGTTCAAACTTCTTGATCTAAACACTAAGCAGGTGTTCATCTCTCGAGATGTAGTGTTCTATGAGCACATCCTTCCCTACAAACATACTACTCCTGAAACACAAACCAGTACATCTCCTCCTGATTTCCAACTCCAATTTCCTTCATCTTCTTATCCTTTCGATTTTGAGACTTCACCACATCATCAGCCTGAGGGGGGGGAGCTCAACCCCCATCCCTTTTTCACAGCCTGATGAACCTGTTGAAGTCTCATCACCAGATATACCTGATAATTCTTTCAACTCTTCTCCCACATCTTTACCTTCACCTGTCTCTTCTCCCTCTCAGTTACCCTTTTCACCTTCTCCTTCTTCTTCTCCCCATGAAGATCCCCCTATTCCTCTCAGAAAAACCTCCAGAAATCTGAAACCTCCAGTGTGGCATTCTGATTATGATGTGCAGTATCCAATGCACAAGAGTATCAGTTATTCACATCTACAACCTAGACTACAAAGATTTGTGAATTCTTTGATTACTCATGCTGAACCAAGAACTTATATTGAAGCCTCTGAGCATCCAGAATGGAATGAAGCTGTGAAAGCAGAACTACATGCTCTACTTGAAAATGGAACCTGGGAAATCACAGACTTGCCAGAGGGTAAACATGCCATAGGCAATAAATGGGTGTTCAGATTGAAACTGAAGTCAGATGGCACAATTGACAAATACAAGGCCAGATTAGTTGCAAAGGGTTATACACAGGTTTATGGGATTGATTACTGTGACACCTTCTCACCTGTTGCAAAAATGGCTTCAGTTAAAATGTTATTATCAGTTGCTGCAGTAAAGGGATGGCATCTGCACCAAATGGATGTCAGTAATGCATTCCTTAATGGAGATTTGTCTGAGGATGTTTACATGGTGTTGCCACCAGGTTTGGATCCAACTGGAAAATACAAAGGAAAGGTATGTAAGCTGAGAAAATCCTTGTATGGTTTGAAGCAGGCCAGTAGGCAGTGGTATGCTAAATTGACAGAAAGCTTGATCAAACATGGTTTCAAACAATCACCTTGTGACTATTCAATCTTCACTGCAAAAGTTCTGAATGAGTTGGTTGTTTTGATTGTCTATGTTGATGACATTGTGCTTGGAAGCATAAGCTTAGATGCTATTAACACTGTCAAGAACATGCTGCATGCTGATTTTAAGATGAAGGACTTAGGAGAGTTGAATTATTTCCTTGGACTTGAGGTAACTCGAGGAAAGCAGGGTATAACAGTCTCTCAAAGAAAGTACTGCTTGGATGTTCTTTCTGAGTCAGGGTTTGAGGATTGTAAGCCTGCACCTACACCTATTTTCATCAAAGAAGTTCTGTCATCCACAGGAGGTGAACCTTTAGATGACATCAGTGAGTACAGGCACCTTGTGGGGCAGTTACAATACTTAACCACCACAAGGCCTGACATTACATTTGCTGTACAACAGCTTTGTCAATACCAGGACAGCCCTACTACAACACATCTCAGGGCTTTGCATCGAGTTTTAAGGTACTTGAAAGGTTCACCTGGTCAGGGATTATTGTACTCCAAAAATGCAGACCTGCAGTTGAAGGGGTACAGTGATAGTGATTGGGCCACATGTCCATATTCAAGGAGGTCAATTACAGGTTATTGCACCTTCCTTGGAGATGGATTAATTAGTTGGAAAAGCAAGAAGCAGACTACTGTGTCTCGTTCATCCTCAGAAGCAGAATACAGGGCGTTGGCTAGCCTAAGTTGTGAGGTGCAGTGGTTGATCAGATTGCTTGCAGACTTTGGGATTTCACACAATGCAGTAGTGCCAATTTATTGTGATAATCAATCAGCAATTCACATTGCAGAAAATCCTGTCTTTCACGAAAGGACAAAGCACATAGAAGTGGATTGCCATGTTATAAGGGAGAGAGTTCATTCTGGTATGATCACACTTCATTACATTCCCACAGAGTTACAATTGGCAGACATATTTACAAAAAGTTTGTCAATAGATCGATTCCATATGCTGTTGTCCAAGCTGGGAGTATATAATCTATACTCGCCAGCTTGTGGGAGGGTAACAAGGAACATGGAAGATGATGTTCCTACTGATCAAGGAATCAACAAGATAGTTGCTGGTTGCTGGCCTTGTTGCAGAAAAGAGCCACCTGATGAGCCACGAAGAACAGGGTCAGCAAAGGAAAGGAAAACGACGACGCAGAGAAGCAACGGACAGCTTGGTTTGATTTGTTAGCTTTTTACTGTACAGTCTTACACGTGTAAAGCTTTGATTTGTCTATAGTTTGCAGTTAAAACTAACTGATGGGTAGATCTCTTTTTGCTGCTTTTACTCTGTAAAAGTGTATATATTCTCTTCTCAATGGAAAGCTCAGTATGAGCAATTTCTCCAATTCTACCTCTTCCTAAAATCTTCTTAGAAACCGAGAAAGATGAAAGAATAATATAGCTAGAATAGAGTACCTTGTTAGAGGATTTGGGGGGAGCTCTGGTACCATAAAATATTTATGAATGCTTGATTATTATTATTATTATTATTATTATTATTGTGAGATGTACACTTTTATATACATACAATGCAACGGGACAGTAACGAGAATGAGAGTTCATGGGAAAGTAGTTGCAATAGAGGAGTCGTGGAGGATAAATAAACGAGGGTCGATAACTCCTAATACCCTCCCAATTGCCATCACTACTTTAAAACACCCCCGGGGGGATTGCGATTAGCCTTATAGAAGTAAAAGATTGACACACATGATAATCAATCATGTTACAGGTCAGTTTGGTCGAGGGTCAATCGTATTATGGGTTAGTCAAGTTGCGCTTTAGTCAGATCACAAAGCAATCAGGGGTTGGGTAGGACAAATTAAGACCTTGTTTGCTTAATGGATTTCATTATGGATTTGGTACATAAGAACCAACCATCATGGACTTTGTACACAATCTATCGTTTGCTTGATGGATTTAGCAGGGACAAATCCGTGGGGCCCACAGTTTTTTAGGGTGCAAATTCGTGGACCCAACGGACTTGGAAATTCCATCTCAAGAGTTGGGATTTGTACGAGTGTCTCAAGTCCATGATGGTTATTTACTATTTTATCCTCATTTTGTTTTGTTTCAAACAATAAATAAGATATAGTAAGGGTAGATAGGTAAATTCATAATGTATCCATAATTATAATTATGCAAAATCCATCATGAAATCTATCAAGCAAAGAATGGTTTTATCCAAAAACCAAATTGACCAATTCCATCATAAATCCTTGTTTTTTATAAAACCCAAGTTTTGACCAAAACCTTCATCTATCAAATCCATGAAGCAAACAAGCCCAAGTAACATTCACTTTTCCGGTCGCTAGTTGAGTTGATTGGATGGTTTAATCGAGTACGATTTTGTTTTAACATCTCTAGTAGGCAAGTCAATCACTTAATGCATTGATGTGCTGAAACGTCTGTTATTCGAATATTGCGTAAAGATGAAAAAACACTGGAAGATTCAAAATGCGGGGAAACTAGGCCAATGGAGTCGCAATATCCGTTGAATGAACACTGTAACATTTAGAGTTATGAAGAACTCAAACAAGCACCAAACGAAAAATTGAAACCCACAAACCGGTGAACACTGTAACGCAACTTCTCCAGCTGCTACAGCTACTGTACTGATTGACAGAGAAACATTTCCGGGACAGTTCCGACACGTCCGCATGAAAGCCACAATATACCACTACTGGCTGTTGATACTGTCAACTTTTCAGGTGTTAAAAAGACTCGATTGGCAGCAGAAAATATCAACTGTGGGCGCGAAATGACATCCAAAGAGACGAATTGGTCTCATACTAGTATGAAACAACCGACTTTGAATTTGATGTCGCTGGCAACTGCGAGAAGGCAGTATCGCTTTCCTCGCACTCGTCAAAAGCTAATGGCGAACCACCGATTACAGGCTTTCTGCGGATCAGGGGAACAATTAAAAACAAGCACATAGTTAGGAAAGGTGAGAAGATGATGGACAACTCAAAAGGTTAGGTTCTAAGGAGGAAAAAGTTCGTTCAGATCACAGAGCCATATTTTGCTGGTCGGAAATGCGGATGAATCGATCACACAAGGCCAAAATGAGAAACGTACTTTTGTGCAACCAAGCTCTCTTCAGATAATGCTTTCTCCAACCTCTCTTCAAATGGCGTTGCATGCCAGCTGACCTTTTGATCCTGCGTAACAAAGAAGGCATTCCTTGGATAGTGCTCCTATAACACCAAAATAACTGAGACGGAAAGGGAGAATCCAGGCCAGTAAAAGTAGAGTTACCTCCTTGTATTTATTAGTTGAATTTGGGATGCCATTCCCATCCCACCACTTTGGGGAAATTTCAGTAGGCTCTTCCTCATTCCAGTGAGCAGCAACCATCCCGATGATTGGTCTGTCTCCAGGAGTTTCCCGGATGTGGAACTTTTTGCTTACAACTGTTCCCGCATCAAGACTATCGCCTTTCTGATTGAATGTCTGCGACACCGGCTTCAGCCAAGTTGACAGGCTTGCTTCCAACTTCAGATCTTTTGAAGGAGAAGTTGCTCCAACTCCTGCTTCTCTGCTGGGGGTTGCACTTTCAGACTGCTCAACAGATTCCCACAGCTGATAGTTCGCATGGTCTTCTTTCAATTCCTGCCACTGGGAAACATTTTCAACAGGCTGCAAGACTGAACAAACATATTGGGACCTGACCCTAGCCTTTCCATATCCTGAAGTCGCTGCATTCGTTGGGTAGACAGTTCCCGGTGTTTGCATCTCACTGGAAAGTTTTAGTGGGGTTGGCCTGGTGGAAGGCTTAGTTACACTCACATCTCCAAAACGTTCCAAGTCCTTTATAATTTGGCCACCGCTTCCAGATGAAGAAGACCCTTTAGATGAGGCAGTATCAAAATCACATTCGAATCGGACAGACTTATTCCTTAGCTGAGTATTGGTGGCTGAAGGAAAAGGAGAAGCTGAAGATGCATCGTCAGTCTCTTGCTCATGAAGTTTCATCACCGTTTTCACGCTTGCTCCTCCACTGTTGTCTACAGAAGAGTTCCTTGCACCATTCTGTGCATGGGAGATGCAGCTGCAATATAGAAAGAGCACCAACCAATATACGAAAGGATGAAGGTAAGGATGTAAAGGGCACCACAGAGGAGAATACCAGCAACACAGTCCACATTTTGTTCCCAAATGAAATTATTATCATAGTAAGAAATTGACAGACTGCCATTTCATGAACCTAATAAAACAGGGCCACGGATAGCATGAGAGGAAAATAGAATGTTAAATGATGGACCTATATCATCTGAACCTAATAAACTTGGTATCACCACAGATTTAATGAATGACAACAAGCTCATAAGACAGTGTAATGTACCTGCTGGGTGCTTGATCTGAAGAAATTGAGCATCTTGCCAACTCTTCACAACTCTTAATAGGAGTAGAGGACTCATCAGTCGGCATGTCGGCCAAAAGTTTCTTGTTGGATGTATTAGGCAGCCATGAATGGAACTCTGACTGATCAGAACTATCATCAACAGGAGGTGAACTTTTGAGCTTCTCAGATGCTTTCCGGAATTCAACAGGAGTCTCGGGCAAAGTACCACAAGCTTTAAGAAATCTTGCCTACACAAATTGTTCTAGGATCACTAAGATAATCTCTACAAGTAAAAACAGATGAAGTCATACCATCTTACTCATACAGGGAGAACAATTAGTTCTAATCAATTAACTCTGAAGGGTGCATCTCCTGATGGAACAGGAATCCAATTCAAGCAAGAACCAAAAGAGAAGGATTAGGTTTACAACTTAGGACAAGCAACCTTTACGAACGCCCCAAGAATAAATGAGAACGTAAAATCTAGTAACAGAATCTACTAAAAGAACCTCATAAGCGAAAGAAGAAACTCTGATGTCTAGCACCTAAACTTATTCGCACAGCTAACGACAATTATTAGAGTTGGATCTCCGCTCCCACATGAAAAATTAGATAGATGTCTTATTCATTTAAGTATTTTGCAGGCAAATCTCAGTCCTGTGATCCTGCGGATCCTTGAAATGTAGCTCTGATACCATATGGTCACTACAACATTACTTTACACAAAAGCGACCTATCTCTGAAGAAGTTCATGTAAGTTGCCATTTGCACAGAACTTGTCAACACGATCTAACGAACATGGTTTCACCTTGAAGAAGATTACTAGATGCATACCTCGTCCCTTAGCTCTTTCTGAGTCTGGGGAGATACCCAAGATAGATTTCCCTTGTTACCACTAGTAGCTGGAGAATCTTCTTCCTCTGTAGACAGATGCCAATATAAAAAAAATTTGAGTGAATACAACTCAACACGGTGCCAAAACGCTAATAAGAAGTTAGGGCCAAATGAGTACATATATACCTTCGGACAAGAACAATGCTGATAAACGGTTCTTAGACGCCATGGCTTCCTGATAGCCGCACCAAAAAAAAAAAACCAATCAGCCACAAAGCATTTCGAGAATCCACTCCAATTGCATTCAAGATACTGCGGGAAGCTAAACCCTAACAAACACCGCCGACACATCACCCAAAGAAAGAGCAGGACGCCGCAACCTACTTTCCCCAGCCGGCAAACAGGTAGAGAGAGGGCATCACAGACTAAGAAGCTATCAAGATTCTCCAAATTCAGTCACCAGTGAGTAAAATTCTGAGATCCTAGCATCGGCTGAAAGGAAATCGAAATCCAAAGCAGGAGGAGCGCACTAACCACAAGAGGCAAAATCCCGCGCAATGAACCGAAGACATTACAAGAAAGCAGAAAGGGAACGAAAGAGAGAAAATAGAAGGAGCTCATACAGTCGGTCGAGCAGAACGCGCCGGGGAGACGAGTTGAGGATTCTGGTGACCGGCGCTGCCGAGGCCGTCGTCCTTGACGCGGAAGCAGTCGAAGAAGCAGGCCATGGCCCTGGAAACGGAGAGATCTAGATATCCCAGCAGAGTTCGGCAAATGGAACCGATTTCAGGCTGCAACGGCAACGCGCATATCATATTATTATTACCCCCGTACTCGAGCCTTTCTCGAAGCCGTCAATCATTCACTCAGCAAGAGCGCTACTCAGGGTCCAGACTCCAGAGTGTGCGGTGAGAGAGAGAGAGAGAGAGAGTTGTTGGGTCGTTTTTCGAATTTTGAACCAACCGGACGAGGGAAAAATAAAGTTTTAACGCTTTTCAAAATTAGAGGAAAAAATAGGACAAAAAAGGAAAAGCAGACAAATTTTGGGAATGTCCTACGCGGGCGCGTGTTCTTTATTTTTGCTACTCGCTGGTATAGGATGGACACGTTTCGCTCCCATTCCGCGGAATTGACCGTTCGATCCCTTCCCGTCTTGTTTTCGGGCGGAGGGAGAGTGTGGAACAGCCGACCGTATGTATGGAATTCCCGGAGACGAGACTGTTTTCGGGGTTTCTTAATTTCCGAGGCATAACGTTTTGGGGCGCTTAATTTTTGCAATTAATCTTGGGATAATTAGCATAAAACGTCACAAAACATTACATTTTAGATAAAGTGGTTACAAAATTTCATTGTGGTCTTCTGGACACGAAATAACGAATTAGTCATTTCAGTTCATCTTCTTTGCATTTCTCTTAGAGACCCTAGACAAAAATATCTGTAACCGTGGATATCCGCCGAATCCGACCTCGTTAGGTAGGGTAAAAGCCGAACACGAAGGAGTTTTAGCGGGTACAGGTAAAATCCGAACCCGAATATTGCGGGTAATGGGTGGACATGGTTTTCTCACTATCCAACCTAAACCCGCCCGATATACACAACATATATATTTTGTCTAGAAATAATTATTATTTTTCTCTAACATATCTTATATTTAGCATATAAATATAATATTTTCATGGAATTATATTGCTTTAATGAATTTTCTTCATGACTTATTGTCATACTTTTCGTATGACGTGATGTGAGAATACATGTGAATATTAACATATCGGTTGGTGTTATAAAGAGAAACTATTATCAATGGATAACCGTGGATACCCGAAACCCGAGCGAGTATGAGTATGGTTTTGATTTTCTGCCTGTTTCTTGTGTGGATATGGGTATGGGTAAAACCCGAACTACTTTGGATAGGGTAACGGATATGCACTATCCATCCCGACCCGTTTACCACTGATTTCCCTGATCTTATGTCTAAGGTTTGTGACTGATTGGCCTAGATATGGGTGATATTGGATAAAATAGGCAACAGTAGCAACTATTTACCACACTATGATTTATGGTTTTTCATATATGACGTTGGTCGTCTACATAACTATTCCCTGGATATGTTTGAATGAAAGTGGATCTCGTCTTCTATCCATGAAAGAGGGCTCTCAAAGAGATGCATCTAGATAAACACGTCATAGAATTAAATGACTAAGTGCTCAAAATATACCAAAGAGTTATACCTATCTAATGGATAATTCCATAGGTTGGTTTTGTTAAAAGGTAATCTCCATTACAAGGGGTGGGCATTGGGTGGGTCGGGTGGATTTTGACCACAAATCACACCCACCCACACTTATGCGGATAGACATTTTTTTATCCGCCACTCACCCACATTTAGTTTCGGGTTGGGTCGGGTGGATGGTGGATGAATCGGGCGGGTAGGTGGATTCACCCACAAATCACAATGTAGAACATATAAAGGCAGCAACTGACATAATATAAGAACGTATATATCCATTATCTTGATTCTTCAAAGCAGCACTACAACTCCTCATGCTACAGCAGTACAGCACTGCCGTTGCTTCCTTAAACAAAGGAATTCCTCATTTATATTAATGAATAATGATCTCTGTAAACAACCATCACACTCCAAACTCATCATCCTTGCATTCTGGCTACTGCCGCCGGATGGTGTCTCCTCTGCCTCCACTATCTACACCCAATTCCATGAGTTGATATGATGCAGCTTCCAACCAAATTGTGCTGCTTCCCGACAAAATCATATGAGCTCTTAATCAGAGAAGTCCTACAAGAAAATATTACAACTGTTAAGCTCAACTAAAGGAAGAAATTAAAGAAAAGATCCAAATAGTGGGAGTTTTGTTTGAGCTTACCAATAAAACCACAGTCAGTACTCAGTAGCATCTCACGAAGGCAGCATCTTACAAAGACAAGATTGTAGTCCTAAGCAACTTACAAAAGATAGGAAGAGAATAGTGCAAAAAAAGACAATAAACCGTAGTAACAGAAAACAAATACCAGCATCCAATCATCTCAAACAAAAAACCAGAACCAGTAGCAAGATTCCAAAAACTATCGTTCACCATCCAAAAACAATCCAACAAACAAACCAAAGCAACATGAAAGAAGTCCAAAGTAGCCCAAGAAATATTAGAGCTTTATGTTTCGCTCATAAGGAATAAAAAAAAATCAGCATCATGAACAACATGTTCCAAATCTCTGATTATCATCGTGAAGCCACCAAACCCAGCACAAGCCTCCTGTAACCATGAAATTATACACACTTTCATATTTAAAGAATAACTCTATGCATGTTCTAATTTAGAGAGACTTTCAATTAATCTTACAATGTGATATCAGAACAGATTGGTAGATCATTTTCCAGGATTAGCTTCTCCAAATGCAGCAGCAACTTCCAACGATTCTGAAACGGGGCAGAGTACACAATAAAAAACATTATTAATGGTTGTAACATGTTGGAAGCAAATAAATAAATTGAAAATTAGCTTACCAAGGTCATCATTCTCAGGTTCAATGGATTTTTGTGATGATCTTAACCAGTCTTGGCAGCATATCAAAGCTTCAACCGTCTTAGGAGATAATGAACTTCGATAAGGATCCAAAACTCGTCCACTAGTGCTAAAAGTGGACTCTGATGCCACTGTCGATATAGGAACAGCCAACACATCTCTCGCCATTTTTGCAATGATTGGATACTTCGTTGAGTGGACCTTCCACCATATAAGAATGTCAAAGTCTTCAGATTCCGGCTCTGCAACATCGGCTAGGTAGCGTTGAGCTTCTGATTTCCCTCCAGAAGTGATGGGAGATGCAGATGACTTAGCGAATTTCATCCTCAAAGCTTTGGCAGGATCAAGCTTTGACAAATCTTGGGTCACAGAGGCTGCTGAAGAAGAGCCGACAGCTTGGGCAGGAAGAGACACCATGTTTTCCTTCAAATAGAAGTCATACAACTCCAAGAACTTGCTCTCCAAATCTTTAGCAAAGTTAGCAGCGACCACAGCATCATAAACAATCTCCATACAATGCTCTACATATCTCAGTTTATACCGCGGGTCAAGAACAACAGCTATATGTAATAAAGGATTCAGATTGTTAACTTGCACCCAATACTTAGAAAATTTTCCTAGCATCCTAAATGCCATTCCACTTAACATGTGATCTCCACTCTTTGTCATGTTCAGAATTCCTTGTTGCACAGCCACAAGCTCATGAAAAAAGTAGTTGGAGGTGGCATGTTGAGTACCCGAAAACTTTAAGGTGGCATTATAAAACAACCACAAAAATTCAACTAAGCACCTGGCATTTTTCCAATCTTCACACGTTGGAAGACCCATCAACTTCTGCCTCTTTCGTCCTCTTCCTCTTGTACTAGCAAATATCTCATTCTGTTTGTTAATGACATCAGCTTGCTCTGCTGTTTCCTCTTCAGCACCACAAAAATATGAAGAATAGCGAAGATCTTCACACTCTAGCCTATCAAACGCCTTTTCATACTTCTCTGCCACTACCAACATATGATAAGTCGAGTTCCACCTAGTTTCAACATCCAAGCACACACGACTTTTGCACTTGATTTTTTCATCATCGACACATTTCAGAAAACTTTGCATTCTAGAAGGAGAACTCCTCACATATCTGACAGCATTCCGAATCTTGATAATTGCATCATCTACCTCTTTCAATCCTTCTTGAATGATTATATTAAGAATATGTGCACAACACCTCATATGAATATATTCATGCTGCAAGACAGTTCCTAATGTGTCTTTTGTTCTTCGAATTACATGCTTAATGGCACCGTCATTGGTACTGGCATTATCTACAGTCACTGTGAAGATCTTCTCTATTTCCCATTCTTTCAAACAATTCATAATTGACAGACCTATCGTCTCCCCCTTATGATTAGGAATTGTTGGAAAACTAAGAACCTTCTTATGCAGCTTCCACTGATCATCTATCCAGTGTGATGTCAAACACATATAATTGAGATTTTGCACTGAAGTCCAAGTATCAGTTGTAAGACAAACACGTTGAGCATGCAACATGGACTTCAGTTTCACTTTTTCCTCTTCATAGAACTTCAGAAAATCCCTATGCACGGTTCTTCTAGAAGGCAAACTGAATTTAGGTTGCAAAGCCATGCTATATTTTCGAAAACCTTCAGCATCTACTGTTCGAAAAGGCATTTCATCAACCACAATCATTCTAGCTAGTGCTTTCCTAGCTTCAGAAGCATTAAATGACCCTAGGCGAAGTCCATCGCCCAATTGTTGCTGAGATTTGTCAAGAACTAGCGATTTTTGCTTCTGGTTTTTAGAATTCAATAGTTTCTCATATTCTGGACATTTTCCCAAATCAATGTGATTCAAAAGGTTACTAGTTCCATGATTCCTAGAGCCTGCAAAGTATTTCTTTTTGCAGTAATTACATGCAGCCTTAGGAGTAGCAGTGCCAACTATCTCAGGCACCATAGTAAAGTGTGTCCATGCTCGAGAAGTTTTTTTGGAATCTTGAGGGTTACCTGTTTTCGCAGCATTGTCCACTTCAGGAGGTTGAGATGCTTGAACAGGAGGTTGGGAAGCTGGGGTGCCCGCTCCACTTGCCTGAATTTCAGTGTCAGCAACTTGTGGTACAGATACTCCAGCGGGGGCAGCTTGAGAACCACCAACCTAATATAGTTAAAACTTAAAACAATATATCAGAAGCAATATAGAAGCAGACCATGAGAGCAAAAATGAAGGAATATATAATGCGAAACAAAAGCAGAGCAGGCATGAATAGACCATCATAGTTAAGAGGAGAATCGTACCTCTTGTTGTGCATCCACCATCGATACAGAAGCAGATCAGAACAAGAGCAGATGCTGCGAAAACTAGAATGCCGATGCTAGAATTAGGACTTGCAAAATTTTAGAAGAACAAGAGAAGTGGAAGCTCTGTATGGAATGCACTTAAATGTTACCTTTAAATAGCTTCAATAAGGAGGCGTAATCAGGATATGTATGATCTCTTTGAGATGTACTAGACCCGTAAAAGTTGAAATTGACTTCAATAGACATGATAATTATTGGTAGGAAGGATTATCAGATGGAAATCAAAGGCTGGAATAGGACGAATGAGTGATGAAATAGTTCTGAAATTGGATTTTAATCCTATTCTAGAAGAGATTTCTGCGCTGGAGATGATTATCAGTGAATGATTTGGGAACAAAGGGAAAGAATCCAAGGGATAAAAGGTAGTAGGGGAGATTTGGGATACCAACATTGGAGAAAAGAAAGGAAGGGAAGAGGATATTCAGAGATGAAATCGGAATTTGGCTTGGCTGCGTGTTTGTTAGGGTTCCCCATCTCCCAGCTGCCGCTGCTGTAATGCTTGCTTCGGGTTGTGCGGGTGACCCGCAGACCCACTCATGACTCACCCTCCACCCGTCGGATAGCCCCCAACTGGACCCGCCATCCACCCACAGACCCACCCACAAAAGCATGAATCGGGTTAATTGCGGATGGGTCGGTTCAAATCCGCGGGTGACCCGCCCGGATGCCCACCCCTAATTACAAGGATAGATTCTGAATGGAATAAATGGATCAAGATAAATCAAATTCTTAGTGATATAGGCTTTGATGCTCACCACTGTTGGAAATGTGTATGAATAGCTTTGAAAGCTATAGAGTCTCTAGTGGAAAAACTACCACATTGGTAGTTTTACTTGGTGAAATGAGTATAAAGATAGGAGCCTCTCTCCTAAGGGCATGCCCCTTGGGGTGACCCACTTTTGTGGGAGAGGGAGGACCTAACGGACCACCACACACACGCGCACTTATTCTGAGGAATATTCTAAGGGATAATCGATTGAAAAACAAAAGTGAAGCCCTTGACATGTTCAAGGTATTTGTGGTTGAATTCGAAAATCAGTGCAATCGAAAGATAAAAAGACTTAGGAGGGATAGAGGATCAGAGTATGACTCTAATCCCTTCAAGGAATTCTATAGCTCACATGGTATCATTCATGAAACCACGGCACCATATTCACCAGAAATGAATGGTAAAGCTGAGCGGAAAAATAGGACATTTACAGAATTAGTTGTGGCTATTATGCTCAATTCTGGAGCTGCTTCTTCTTGGTGGGGTGATATTTTGTTGACGGTTTGCTATGTGCTAAATCGTCTTCCAAAAACAAATAGAAAAGAATCACCCTATGAGATCTTGAAGAATAAGCCACCTAATCTGTCCTATTTAAGAGCGTGGGGCTGTTTGGCCTACGTAAGAATTCCGGATCCTAAGAGGGTTAAGTTGGCTAGTCGAGCATATGAATGTGTCTTCGTTGGCTATGCGGCCAATAGTAAGGCATATAGATTCTATGATTTGAATGCTCGTACTATAATAGAATCCATTGATGCTGATTTCTTTGAGACACGATTTCCATTTAAAACGAGAAATAGTGGGGGTAATGTACTACCCGCTATTAGAGATAACGGAACTAGTGGGGGTGTTGGATCTGAAGATGAACTCTGAAGAAGTAAAAGAGCTAGAATCTCTAAAGATTTTGGTGATGACTTTACTACAGTATACACCCTAGAGGATCCAAAAAGTTTGCAGGAAGCATTAACTTCCATAGATGCAGACTTTTGGAATGAGGCCGTTATAGATGAAATGGAATCGTTAGAGGCTAATAAGACTTGGCATCTAACAGACTTACCTCCTGGCTGCAAAGTCTTAGGTAATAAATGGGTTCTAAAAACGAAACGGAAACCTGATGGTGCAATCGAAAGGTTCTGAGCTCGCCTAGTAGTCAAGGGCTACAGGCAGAGAGAGAATATAGATTTCTTCGACACCTATTCACCAGTATCTAGAATAACATCCATTCGTGTCATGATTGCTCTTGCTGCCTTGAACAATCTCGTGGTACACCAAATGGATGTTAAGACTGCTTTTTTGAACGGTGATCTAGATGAAGAAATCTATATGGAACAACCAGAAGGGTTTGTTATCCCTGAACATGCCTCGAAAGTCTGTAAGTTGGACAAATCATTATATGGTTTGAAACAGGCTCCAAAACAGTGGCATGAGAAGTTTGACACTCTCGTTCTCTCACATGGCTTTAAGGTGAATGAAAGTGACAAGTGTATTTACTGCAAGTCAGAAAATAACACTTGCACTATCATATGTTTGTATGTAGATGACATGTTGATATTTGGTACAAATATTCACATGGTCAATGAAGCGAAAGCCATGTTAAAAGAGAGCTTTGAGGTGAAAGATCTGGGAGAAGCCAAGTTTATGCTTGGAATCCAGATAACTAGAACAGCAAATGGTTATTCTCTAGATCAATCTAGTTACATAGAGAAGATCTTGAAGAAGTATAACTATTTCGACTGTAAACCTGCGTGTACTCCGTATGATGCTAGTGTAAAGCTATTCAAGAACACTGGAGACAGTGTAAGACAAACAGAATATGCTAGCATCATTGGCAGTCTCCGTTATGCTGCTGATTACACTCGACCAGACATTGCATATGTCGTGGGATTGCTTGGCAGGTTTAACAGCTGTCCTAGTAGAGAGCATTGGAATGCTATAGAGAGGGTCATGAGATACCTCAAGAGAACAGCAAACCTTGGTATACACTATCAAAGGTTTCCCGCTGTACTAGAAGGGTATAGTGATGCGGATTGAAACGACAGATTCATCGTAAGCACAGTACTGTTAGAGAACTCCTAACGATAGGAGCAGTGAGGGTGGATCATATAAGATCCGAACAGAATCTAGCTGATCCTTTGACGAAAGGATTACCTAGAGAGAAAGTCCAGAATACCGCCAAGGGTATGGGGCTTATGCCTACCGAACCACGGACTACAAGTGATGGTAACCCGACCCAATAGACTGGAGATCCCAAGAAATGGGTTCAATGGGTAATAACAAGTCATGAGTAGTATGCGAAAAGTTCATGCATAATGAAGCATGAATCCCAAAGCAATGGAGGTTGAGTTAATAACTCTTAATGAGATCTATACCCTATGTGGGGTGGAGTACTTTACTTTGGGGGTACTCCTGATAGACTCACCTATGTGAATGTGGGAGTGGGGCCGCTCCCTATGGAACTTTGAGAGGCACAAAGTTGCTAGAACGTTCACTAAACCAGGATAACGTGCATGGCCATAAACGCACGGGCTAAGAAGAGAACACCACTCAATGAAAAGATCCGGTGTGCTACACTGTCTGAGATAGGGTTCAAGACTACGAGTCACCCTTATGAAATCGGAAGTGTAACCACTACGCTAAGGTTCAAATCTTCGCGATACCTTAGCTTATGCCAGATCTTATGGAACTGTTGATGCTCAGAGATAGTTTCAAAACTATTCAAGTGGGGGATTGTTGAGTCTCTAGTGGAAAAACTACCACATTGGTAGTTTTACTTGGTGAAATGAGTATAAAGATAGGAGCCTCTCTCCTAAGGGCATGCCCCTTGGGGTGACCCACTTTTGTGGGAGAGGGAGGACCTAACGGACCACCACACACACGCGCGCGCGCGCGCCGTCCGTCCGACCGACCGGTCGGTTGGTTGGTTGGATGGATCACTTGAGACTATATACATATTTTTGGAGAAATTCCGAACGAAATTAATTATATAATAATTAATTATTAATCGGTTATTCTGAGGAATATTCTAAGGGATAATCGATTGAAAAGGAATATTCGAAGGATAATCCCTGCAGGATTTATCCTAACCGACGGTTTTAATTAAGGAAGTAATTATCTTCCTTAATTAATCCGACTTATTCCCCAAGCAAGAGGGTATATTCCTAGGGGTTCGGCTCCTATAAATAGCCGCCTCCCCAGCCCCTCTAAACACACCACAACGAGCATAAACACAATAGAGAGAGTGTTCAGAGAGCTCCGGTTTTCGCACAAAACCGCGAGTACACAGAGGAGCTGTTTTATCCTGGAGACGACCGGTTGATAGTCTGCCGTGCGCATCGAAGGCAGTGCCGCGAACGTCTTAAAGAGAGCGACCTAGTCCGCGACTCAGCTCCAGATTCGGTAACCTCGTCTTGTTGTTGTTCCGTTTCTAACAACCACGACAACCAGCAACCTAATGTATTGACTATCAATAACAATGGTTATTTTGGCCCCATAATATCAATCCCTATTAATAAACTTTATTGGGGCCTCCTAATTTTGTCTCTACTTTGAATTTATTTTACCTTTTTACAAGAACGTTGATACCTTTATGGAATTGTCGAGGAATCTATCAAATACTCACAATTCTATCCTTAACTGAGGTAGTTCACTCCACTGTTTTCCTCTATACTTGTTGTTCCTATGTGAAACTAAAAATGAGGGTGATCGGACTAAGAAAAGATACATCATCTTTGTCTCAAAGAAGTTCGATTTGTGAGTGTTATTGAATCCTCTAGGGCTTGATATCCCTTGGTCATTGAATGTGAACTATTTCGTAAGAGATAAACCATGGTTCTTCCTTTCTGTTGAATGCCAACACCCTATCTTCGAAATGGCCCACTTATATTTATCCATCTGAGTTGTGACTCTACAACTAGATAAAATCAATTCAATGAAATTGGTTTTGGCTTGTCCCCTTCTGATTTTTGTGCTCGGAAATTTCAATTGTATTCTCCAAATGTAAGAGAAAACAGGAGGTAGGACTCTTAGTTTCTCGACCCTTGACCAGCTATGAGACTTCTATATCCACTATGGTTTACAAGACCTAGGGTTTTCTGGGTCTAAATTCACTTTGACTAATCGACAATTAGTTGTGGATCATGTGATGGTTAGATTAGATAGCGTCTAGTATCCGCATCGATCCTTAGCTCTTGGCCAGACATTGAATAACACATCCCACCGACTCAGGATCTGATCACCACATGAATATCTTGCATCTTCAAACTCAAGTCAAACTAGGCCAAATTTGTTCCCTATTTGATAGTCGCTAGGCCAACAACCCTTAAGCTAAATAAATTCTTTTACTTCAATGCCAGAATCGGGTGGTGGGTATTGGATAATTCAAACTCTTTACCAACTCTACTAGACTTATATGAGATCTCTGTCTTGCCATTGATGTGGTTCGTGAGGCACCTTTAGTAGATTGAGAAGTGATTAAGGATTTAGAAAGTCACTTATCCTCAACCTATATCTAAGAGGAAATCTATTGGAAAGAAAAATCAAGAATGAGGTAACCTATATCCTCATTGAGGTTGCTCTTCCATATTCGCCCGTCTGATATATCATCTTTTTTCTTCTCCACATCATTGGCGGTTGGTATCCAACTGACGTCAATTGAGGAGATGATGGTTTGTGGGGCGATGACTGCAACAATAATGGTATCCAACTGATAGATCATCTTTTTACTTTCACACTTCTTGGATAAATAACTAAAATTTGGTGGATGTGGTACACATGTTTCGAACACGCGTCATCAATTATGTTTATCACTAGCGGGTAACTGAGTTGACCGTTAGTATTGACATTCCCCGCTACTTTTTTCCATAAGCACTTCTTATCTCTAATTTCCAGGTTTCAGAACAAATTCGAGTCAACTAAGAGATCTCAATTTGACTAGATGAACATTGATAAACTTGTTTTCGGAGTCAAGTGGTCAACCCCGAATATATATACATTAATGTTAACCATAAGAAAAGAAATTGATAATATTAATTATTATATAATAATAAAGCAATTAAAAAATTATTAGAAAACTAATTTTCTCCCTCTCTCCTCGCCTTCCCTTCCTTTTTTTCTTCTTCCTTCCTTCCCCTACACCCCAATTTGGGGGTAAGACGAAACATTAATTTTGCGCTCCACTTTTGCACCCGCTACTGTTACAAATGAACCAAACAGTGCAAATGTGTTGGAAACTGTTTTACCCTTACCATTTGCATCCCCTCCCATTTGCACCTCTTCCCAAACAGAGTAACAGTGTTACTTTCAACTTACTGCGAAGCGCAAACCAGCGAGACAATATCTAGGAACATTCTATCCTTAGGGTGGGCCCCTTCCATTAATCTCCTTCTTTTTCCTCTTTTGTCAATCATTTTTTATTTAAACTTCTTTTTCTTTTTCTTTTATTTTGTTAGTAATTTCATCTCTTTATTTGTTCATATCTCTTTTTTCTTTCACCTATAATATTCTATCTCCTAATATCCGTATTTTTATTGTTCTGGTGCTGAATCGACTAATCGTTTGTATTTGGTTTTGCATCTTTAGTAATTTCTTTCTCGTTCGAACTCTAATAGGAAAATCACGAAATCTTCTAATATGGTTACCATTCATTAAGCGTTTTGTTGTTGTGTTGAAATCGACATCTTTGTTCTTATTTGGTTTTACATATCTTATTCATCTCTTTCTCGCTCTCCATTAAAATGGTGAAAGTGGCATCGAAACCAACAAAACCAACTGATACATTCTTCCGTCTTTTTTCTCTTTGTTAAATTCCATTTTTAAAGCAGATTTTCGTAAATTCTTTAATTAATAGATGTTAAATTCAAAATATTTAGATTGTCGTCTACTAATTCATAAATTCATTGGACAACAAGTGCAAATTACTACGAACCTCTCCCACAATGATTTTTCTTGCCGTTCTTAGTGTTACATCGTATGAGTTACATGTTATTAATTATTTTACAACCATACATTTATAGTGCTATCTTCCACTAGCCGTGAAGCGTAAGCAACTAGTAGTAAATAAAGGGTTAACAAGGAATAAAATACCGTATTGGAAGCAAAATCGATAAGCGGTATTTAGCGGTATAATACAGTTGAACCATGCTTAAATTACTATTTTAGTATAAAATATCATACTTTTTACTTTTTCGATACGACCTCCAATGCCGTATTTCAATCCTATGCGTAACATAATTATGCAGGCATAATCACATGACTAATCGTCGACGTTTGCTTGCAAAAACATGAAACACACGTATAGGCTATAGGCTATAGGCTACAGACAACGGGGAGGGTAGAGAGGAAAAGGAAAGCAGGGATTTCTTCTTCGCGCAAATTTTGCAGCAAAGGAAAGGAGGGAGGAAGCGAAGCTAATGAAAGAAGCTCAGGAGTTCGTTTGGATGGGCGCGATCCCGCTGCAGATTCATCTCCACGAATCTGAAGTGACCACAGTGCCGCCTCCTCCTCCTGCCCTAATCTTAGCTCCTCGGATTGGCTATTTGCCTTTGCTCCTCCCTCTAATCAAGCCTTACTTCTCTTCTACTCTCCCTCCCGGCGTTGACACTGTCTGGTTCGAATACAAAGGATTGCCTCTCAAATGGTCAGTTCCGTCCTCTGCAGATTCTCCTTCTTGCCGCTTTCTCTAGCTGATAGATGTTTCTCCATTAACGGCGTTGTTTTCCAGGTACATTCCCACTGGTGTTTTGTTTGACCTTCTCTGTGCTGAACCAGAAAGACCTTGGAATTTGACGGTAGTAGAAAGCTTCTGATTGGGATTTGATGCACACCTGCTGTGTTGACAGTTTCTTTCCCCCTTGCTGTTTGTTCTTTATTTTGTTACTACGGGAATTTGCAGCGGCGAAGTGACGGTTGGGATGGATAGTTTTGATTCTCTTGTGCCTTCCTGCAGATCCATTTCAGAGGATATCCGAGTCATTTGTTGATTCCTTGTGAAGGTGAAGACTCTGTCAAGTGGAACTTTATCAACTCGTTGAAAGAGGTTCGTGCGCGACTATTCTGTGTTTTGACCCTTCTGTTAGCTTTTGCAGTCCTGCATCCGTCCATGATCATACTTAGTTTTAGAAACGTTCACCAGAAAAGTGCTTGATTATTTGTTTGTGATGCTTATGAACTCTATAATGCAAGGTTGGAAGTATGTGATCTTACTAGTAGTAGCCTCCAGAACATACTCATGGTCATGGATCCCAACTCGGAAACATGGACCTTTATGGCCGTAGTATAGGGCTTTTATATGGACAATGAACGGTCGATTGAACTGCATTTTTACCTGTATGTATGAGCTTCAGATCCCATTAAATGCCCAGTGGAATGGCCTTAGCTGGTGATGTTTAGTCGTTCCTTTCAGCCCTCTGTCTGGTTGGTTGCTCACTTGTAATGTCCTCGTATTGTACTGCTGATCGAGAAGGATGTCTCACTGACGAATCTCTCAGTTTTCTATATTCTAACCTATTTGGATTTTAATTTTTTCATGGTAAATGGAAAACTGCTGATTACTTTATTTGCAGGCAGATTACATAATTAATGGTAACTGCAAGAATGTAATGCATATGTCTCAGTCTGATCAGCTGGAGCTCTGGAACTCTGTAGTGAACGGTATATTCTAGCTTTAATTACTGTTGCACTTCCTAACCTACCTTCTCTGACCGCGCAATGTTCATGTTACTTTTCTGCTGCATGTCTCGTGCAACTTTCTTGTTTTAGATCAGTGGTGCAACTCACTGATAGTAGGATCAGGGATGCTAGCAATTGTTCAGAAGATTTTTATATTCTTTTCACTGTTCTGAATCTTAGCATGCTGAACTGGTAGGACACTATGTAAATTGTGAACTACCTTCAGAGACATGACAGCAAGATGAGCACAAGAAACTCTTTTTTTTCTTTTTTTCAAACACATGAATGAACATCCTGTCACTAACTTTGAAACGTTAGTTAAGTGACTAAATCCCCCGATTTTTTCTTTACGATTCGAAAATGTCAAATGGGCTGAAATTAGACAGCAAACTGATGGGTCCTATCCTCTCAACAGTTTTTTTCCCCTATCAGCTTTGAAATGCTGTCCTGAAATCACATTTGGATTCTATATTAGGGATTTTTCCCTCCAAAGCACAATGCATGTTTGTAAATGGGGGAAAAGGGGACCAACTTTCTTCATTTGAAGTGCAAGCTGGGTGCTCATTATTCGATATTCGGTCAGTTCATCTGGTAGGTGTATGGGAACCTTGCCGTTTCTCTCTACCAATTAAAAGCCCAATATCATAACGCACAAATTCCAGATGTTTCTGAGGCTTCTGGTTGTGTGTACGTCTGTAAAATGTTCCGCCAGTCTGATTCAACCTCTGTTCAGAATTCACCAGATACAACCGTTGCAGGGTTCAGGAACTATTATTTAACATAGTTCCATTCAACATTGCTAATTTGACTATGCACACTTTGTATACGAAAGGCATATGCAACAATCTGTTGTACATCTGTTAGTGAAAAACCTGATTATTTATGCATAACCAACCTTTTTGGAGGGATGGGGCTCAGTTCTCAATTGTTTGGTTTTCAATACTTGGTAATTCTTCTCTATTGATTCCTGTTAGTAGTCATTGCCAATTCTGAATGTTCACTACTACAAGTCAAAGCGAAAAGTGAGTGTTTACCTTTGTCTTGTTTCTAAATTTAAGAAAGCTGATCATATATGCAGCTAATCTGGAGGCATTCATTCGGTCATCATCCAAACTAAAATCGGGAACGATTGAGGATGACTATGCATCCAAGTCAAGTTTGTCCTCACAAAAATCGCAAAAGATGATTGGTGAGGCAGATACAAGCGTGCAGACAAAGACAGGTTAGCTGGTTTGGTTGTATATTTAGTTTTCTTCCTTCATTGCCTGTATATAGTAGACACCATTTTGGTTTTGGGTTTTAACTTTCTTCACAGCATTTTACATGTTAATATTAGTTACAAGTGAACTTCAATCTCATTTGACTTGGTGCTCTTCTGACATCTAAATTACTCATGTGATACATGAATGGTAATTTAGATGTGATACACTACATAGCATTTGTGTGTTTCACAGCTTAATCACACTTGAAGTTTGGCCTTCTCCATGTCTTATCCATGTGGATGTTGGTTATTCATACTTCATAAGTATCTGTTTCTTCAGTAGCGTGTAGTCAAGATTGTTGTAAGCATCTCATCTGTTGCTCCATGTCAGTTAAAGGATACATATTGCTTATGATATCTTTTTCCTTAATGCTTGACGTCACCCATTTTAATTATCATATTTCATGGATGGTATTAGGTAAAGTTCCAGTTCGTTTATATGTCTGGAATGTGAGTGAGGACTTTGGAGACATGGAAGATGCACCTCCAATTGATAGTTGGGACAGGATTTCTTATGTTAATCGGCCACTTGAGATCCACAGAGAAGAAGGCAAGTAACACTTATGGTTTTGATTGTCCTATCTATTTCATGTTGCAATGAGCAATATATCTACTTATATTTCACACATGACACGCGGGCAGTTAAGCAGTCCTGCTTCACAAAGTTAACCCACCTAGAGATTTTAATGGAAGGGATGCTCATGGTTAATTATGCTTCCCAGCCTTCCAATCCTGATAGTTCATTTGACTGAAGAAGGGAAGATTAAGTCTCGCCACAAAATTTTATCATAATGCAAAGTTAATGGCATGCTTTCGTGCTTTAAATGCTTGTAATGCGTCTCTTTTACTCTTTGTTTGTGTGCGGGTTTCTCTGCTTGATGCAACCTGCTTACTGATTGTTAAAACATCTATGACACTGCAGGTAAATGCTTCACATTGCATGATGCTATTAAAACCCTTCTCCCAGAATTGTTTGGCAAGAAGAGGAAACCTAGTGAAGGTGAAAATGATGAACAAAGCTTTGGGTCAGAAGAAGAGACCAAGAACAATCGAATGACAGAAGAAGGGGAAGGAAATATAAGTCAGCCATTGGAAACTGGGAGCACAGCGGACGACGACCCTGAAATTAAGCTCCTCCGGATTCAAGGGATTGAACCAAAATTGGAAACACCAATTTCTTGGGTAGCAAACCACTTGAGGCATCCCGAAAATTTTCTTCACGTCTGTGTATATATCAAAGTCCCTTCTGCAAAGTCTCTTTAAAGGTCTTATAGCAAGTGTGTCTCTTTTGGGAGCTGGGGAAGGTATCCATTGTACATTGTGCAGAAACGAAGGTATCCATTGAGGAAGCTTTTTTATTTTTTGGGGAGGAAGGTTGTTTTGAGGCGAATTGAATTTTCATTGTCCATTAGTTAGATTAGAAAAATGTACGATGTCGTTATTTGTTTGTGGGTCTATTAAGAGGTTTGATTTTTGAGTTTGTGTTGAGGGTTGGATGGCAGGAGTAGAAGTGAGAATCATTGAGTTAGAATCTATTTGGGTAAATACATTTGCATAGGCATAACTTTCATGTTTGTGACAACTGACAAATATAGCTATAATTATCCGAAAACACAAAATAGTCAATTCCATCAATCTCTTTAACGGTGTTACTTAACACTCTGAATTGACTGATTGAAATGCTGACCTGACAATACTTCGACGGACACGTGAATTAAAAAAACAAATTCAATTTTTTTGAATTCATAAAATGAAAAATAAAATAATTTTTTTATACAAAAATCTTCATCTTCCTCCCTGTACCCCCAGACCCGCCACCATTGTTCGGCCCTGCTCCTTCCTCATCGTCCCCTACTCCCATCAATTACCCAGATCTTCCTCCCTATACACCCAGACCCGCCACCATTGTTCGTCCCTGCTCCTTCCTCATCGTCCCCTACTCCCATCAATTACCCAGCAAGCAACAACACAACCCTAAATCGAAGAAGAAGAAGAAAACCCTATGGTTCTTTTGGGTCGTTTGCCACCGCCATCGACATCATCTTCATCTCTCCAACTACTACAAACCACCGCCCACCGCCGTGAACAACCGCTCTTCGCAATGGATCCCGCCAATTATGGTGGAAAGCCGTTGTTCGACCCATCCGATCTTGACCTCTTTTCCCTCGACCTACCGACTCCAAATCCTCGAGATTCGCCCAATCAGTTCATCTATGGAGGACGGGTTCGATGGTGAGAAACGAAACAGAGCTTCCTCTTCTTCTACTTCTTCTTCTTCCTCTTTGGCCGCCATGGAGAACCCGAATATCCTGCTCCTCAGGCTCCGCAGCAGGCTTGTGGGCCTTATCATTCTCCTCCGTCGGTAGCGGCTTCTTCTTCGGATCCAATGAATACTCTGTAGAGTAGACTTGGCCAATTAGGGTTTTTGGGGTTTCCCAGTCCCTTATATTCTTCTTCGCCTCATTTTTAACAGAGCTGCGATCCTTTTCAGTGCGAGAAAGAAGACGACGGTGAAGGAAAATCCGTCTTCCAAGGGCTGGGCGGGAGAGGAGCTGGAATTGGAGACGGATCCGACCCTTTTCCCCTTGTCGGTTTGGAAATTATTGGAGCACACATCCTCCGGCAGAAGAAGAAGATTGGAGAAAGGGGGTGGGATATGAAGAGGGGTAGGATATGAAGAGGGGAAGGGAAAAGTGAAAGGGCACACTTAATTTGATTCCTTTTTTTTTTGTGTAAGTGATAAATTATTTAATAGATTAAGAGAAGAGAGGAGAGAGAGAGAGGAAGGATAAATTATTTAATTTATTATTTTTAATTCTTTATTGACGTGGCATTCCACATATACATTTTGTTGATGTGTCGCTGATGTGGAGGTCGGATTCCGTCCTCGTCAGCGTTCCGTCAACCGAGTAAACTGAGTCACAGGCGGTGTTAAAGTTTCTAACGGATTTGGCTAGATTTGTCACACTACCCTCGATTATTTGGGCTATTTCGTGTTTTCTAATAGATATGGCTATATTTGTCAAAAACGTGAAAGTTATGGTTATACAAGTGTATTTTGCCGAAGTTATATATAAGTGGAGTTTTACAATTTGATCGTGAGATTAGCCAAATCAGTAGATTTGATCATATATATAGTGCATAAAGTTTTGTTTTTTAAAGTTGCTCTCTATAAAGATGATATCGGTGGCATTTGGCAACTGTTTTTTTTTTTTTACCTTTGATCAAGTTGGTGTGCTGATAGAGGGTGGGCGTCGGTCGTCTTTCAGGGAGATGCACAGGTGGTGTTTAAGAAGATTATGGATGGCGAGGTGCATGATGCAGTGGCGGTCGCTCTTCTTACGGAAGTTTAGATTCTCCGTTGGACGTTCCAGCACTTTGATTGTGTTTTCATTGGTCGTACTAAAAATAGGGTTGTCCATCTGGTGGCAAGGAAAACCCTTTCATTAAGTCTACCATTATTGGTGGGTTTCGATTTTGTTGCTTGGCTTCGGTCACTCTGAGTTGTGTTGGACTTTGTATGATTATATCTTTTGTTTCTCGGTAACACGAGTTATCTTTTGTTTCTCGATTTTGTTTCATTGTAGTCACAACCTATCTAATTCCATTAAATTCGTCTTTGTGACAATCAACTATTACTTTTGACATTTAAATAAATTAGGTAGCTAAATAAGTAATAAAATAATATAAAATTGCTTTAATCCACGACAACCACTTGTTAATTTTTAATAGCCACATCATCTATTTAACAATAAAAATAAATAAATAATAAATAGTTGAATCTCTTCTAAAACAAAATTTACATAACTAGCTTTGGGCCTGCTCGATAGACGGGTGAATTTTTACTTGAGCTGGTAGCTGTACAGAATGAAGATGATTTGGTTTCGTTGAAATCCCATTAATGATGTATTGCTTGTCCTCCAATAATATATAGTATAGTTTTGTCTATTTTTCTCTTTTTCAAATTTCCTACAACAAGAGTGAAAGTAGCAAGGGCATTTTTGTCTTTACAAGACATTATGTATTCCATATAAAAAATATAAATATCAGGATTTGAACCTGGGTCTCTTCAAACAAAGACAATAATTGCAACCAATCACACTAAACAATTTTTTGTATCTTTTTTAATACAAAACATACACGAAGTGACACTCTAAAAATTAGATGACTTTTTCATCATGATTAGCAAGCCCACTAAGTCTATCGTATGTATTTTTATGGTGCTTGATACTACAATTTTCATAACAGAGTTTCATGTAGTTTCTCAATTCTCAAATCATTGCTCTCTCCTTAATTTTTGATAAAGGTAAAATTGGTAATTGACCAACATGGAAGAAACTAATTCTATTACCACGTGTTGTGTCCTTGCATTTTTCAATTTATATTTAAATTTGTACTTTATCTTTGTTCTTATCTCTTTCTAACTTCCTCTAAAATTTCCTCCATCGTGTAATAGTTTGCGACCCTTTCACTTCACAGTTAAAGCCGCCTTTGAAATCAATCTTCCGGTCTCTTGGCACTACAATTTTATTCTTGACGATTTAAACTGGGCAAGTGAAAGAGTTCAACTCTGATATCAATCCATGGCGAATAGAATGAAGTTTAATAAATGGAGGTGCAGAAGGAGGATTAAAAATTGAATTTTGGGTTGAAACATACGCCTCTTGAGATTGAAGATAGAGTGGATAAAATTTTTATTGTACAACGGAAAGTGGTGGCTATTGGATCTTTAGGTTTATGGTTTTTGAAGCTATCGCAACCTAATTTTATTTTAAAACGAGGAATCATCGATTGATTTACTAAAGTAGGATAGTCGATTCTTTTTTGGCAAAATACACTCGCATAGCCACAACTTTCCACTTTGTGCCAACAATAGCCAAATTTTGAAAAATACAGAGAAATAGCCAATCCGTCTAATACTTTAACGGATGATCTTGAACTGCTGACTAGGCTAACGGTTCGCGCTGATGTGGCACGTCTCCAACGCTATTGTTGCCAGATGGAATTGATGATATTTATTTTTTTTTATTTAAAAAAATATAAAAACGAAAAGGTCCCTCCGTTTTCGCCCAACCCCTTTTCGTCGATCTCTAACCCTACCAATTTCACTTTCCACCCGGACGAAACCCTTTCCGTTCTTTCCGATCCCATTCTTTCCGATCGACGGCCCATTGCCGTTGACGGAGACGATTTGGTGCGACTCGTTTATTGGGCGTCCTTTCCACTTCCTCTCATCTGGGCGTCTTTGCTCCCAAATCCAACATGCATCCCGACGGCGGATAAAACCAACGCCGCCGACCCGACTTCTCTTCGCTGATGCCGCTGCAAGTCCTCCCTCCGCACACACAGACACAGCTCTGTCGTCAACGAGAAGTCCAGATCTGGAGATAGGCTCAGCCGTCACCGTCGCCGTTGAATCCCGACCACGGGGAGAACGACCCCACTTCACTGACGCCGCTGCTGTCGCTGCAAGTCATCGCTCAGTCACCACTTCGCCTTCTCTGTAGATGGGTGGCAAATCTGGAGATGCGCGCTGACGAGAGCTAAGATATAACGCCCAGTCTGAGCGATGTAGGGTACTTCTCTACTCGACGGTGAGCGAGGATTAGAGGGAGGAGGAGGAAGCGACAATTGATTTCTGGTCCTTCATTTTGGGTTTTTGCAGCCGAGAAGCATGGGTGGAGAATTTTCTGGGATTGAAGGCGGACATAACAGGGGAACATGAAGAGGGAGCTCGTGGGGAGCAGATTTTGGGTTTTATTGAGATTCCAATATGTCGGTTCTGGGCTTTATTGGCAGGCTGAGTTATTTATTGGATCTGATTTTTGGGAGATTGACACAATTTCTTCGCCTTCTTCTTCCCGCTATGTCATCCCATCACCTGGATCTCCGGCCTCTGTCGCCGTTCCATTCTCCTGACGAATCTATGCTGGTGAATGGCTGCTGATTCAAAAGCTTGTGGAGAAGAAATCCGGGGATTCCTGGATGGCTGGATACACCCATGGAAGGGGAAGGTAGAATTGAGTGGTAGGTATGAATTGTTTATTAATAAAAATAAATTAATGAATTTTTTTTAATTAAAATGGGATGTGGCGTCCAGGTGGCATTGTGTGTCTTGTTGGAGCTGATGTGTGAGCTGATGTGGCATCCATCTCACGGAGTCACTAACGGTGTTAAAGATTTTAACAGAAATGGCTAAATCTGTCAAATTACTTTTCCAAAAGTGGCTATTTCTCTGTATTTTTCAAAATTTGGCTATTGTTGGCACAAAGTGGAAAGTTGTGGCTATGCGAGTGTATTTTGCCTTCTTTTTTCAGCCTACTGGAACTGATAGAGAACGAGTGTCTAATTTTGTTCATTATTACTTTGATCGAGTCTATTAGTATATTGGAGTTAACCCTGATTTTGGCATTTGCTCTCAAGTTGTGATGGTCCCCTCTTAGCTTAGTTGTTAGCATATATTTGACTTGAATCAACAACTCTCTATTTCTTTTTGATTAGTGACATACT